AAAAAATTCATCAAAAATGTCCATAAAATATTTCATTTTTTCAAAAAAAAATTGAATTTTGTATATTTAGACGAGGTAGCATTAGGCTATTAGATTAGATAAAATAGATGTTGGCAATTAAAATTTTATCAGACAATCTCAATATTTGATTAAAAACAGATAATATAGTAATATTAGGAACTATTGGAACAAAAAGCTTTTTAATAAACCTTTATAGAGAATGTTAATAGCAAGGTTTTTTGCTATAATATAATTGAATTAATAATACTATTAAAGCAGCATATTGTAGTAGATTCCTTCATTGAAATTATCAAGACATCAAGGCAATGGCTTTTAAATTTTGAAAGTTCGCTATGTCTAACATTCAAGATTGAGCCCCATATATAGTCTAACTAAGGTTTTTGGATAGATTCTTTAAGTATAAAAGCCTCTCTAAAGAATTCAAAATAAGAAAGTTCATGTTCCCTTACTAAATTTACTAGGATAGAGCAATCGATTTATATTAGCCATACGCCATATTGATCAGATTTTTAACGTTTAGAATTACTGGAACCTCTACTCCTATTAGGAGATTAGATTCAATTAATTTTTCTCCATTAAAAAATATGATATCTATTAATAAGACACTAGGTAGAAATTTATAAGTAATATCAATATAAGACACCTCCTTAAATAACTTAAATTTGAACTCTTAACGATATTCGTATGAGAAATAAAATGTTTTAAGGAACTTATAAATAATATTGGCATTAAAAGCTCAAAGTAAAAAAGTGTAAAAGATTTATGGATAAAAGTAAAATTTTTAGGAATTAAACAGAAAGAAACTCTCTCATGACCTAAGTTTTTAGTGAATTTAATTTAATAGTAGTAAAATATATAACATTTTACATCGAATAAATTATATTAGAAAGCTACCACCATAGTTGATAAATAAATGAGAAAAAATCGCAATTAATACTATGATGAAGTCATTAAGCTTGTTCTAGACCAATAGTTTTAAAGTAATATATTGATTACAATTTATTATTCCTGAAATAAGCATTAAATTAAATAGTTTTTACTTTAATTTTTAATGCAAAAATTTTTATCCGATGTTATCGACTTATAAGTATAGAAAAAAGTAATAATAAACTTAAAGATATTGAATAAAAAAAATAATTAATTTATTATCAATTCAGATTTCATTTAATGTTACATTATTTTATATTAATAATTATAATGGAAATTTGTAAAAATCAATGTTTATAAATAATTACTCTTAAACTTGAAAAATAAGATTTATGGAAGGAATTATTCAAGAATATATGAGTGAACAATGATTACTTATTAAATAAATAGTAATAATAACACAAAAGCATATAAAGTCGAAGAAGATATATTTATAATTAGAGAGTAGGTATACAGAAGCAGTTTAAAANAACTATATTCATATGAGAAATAAAATGTTTTAAGGAACTTATATATAATATTGGCCTAACAAGCTCAAAGTAACAAAGTGTAAAAGATTTATGTATAAAAGTAAAATTTTAAGGAATTAATAAGAAAGTAACTCTCTTATAACCTTAGTTTTTAGTAAAATTATAGTTGTAAGAATTTTATAATTCAAAGTAACTGAGTTATATGTAAAAGGTTTACCTTAATAGTAGTAAAATATACAAAATTTTACATCGAATAAATTATAAAAGAAAGCCGAGCTTGAAAATTTTTAATTCTATGATGAAGTCATTAAGAGAGCTAGATGGAACTAAGCTCAAATAGATTGAAAAAGTGAGGATTCACAAAGACATAGAATGGTAACATTTATTGAAACCTGATGAATTCTTTATATTTTCAGATCATAAACCATTATCAATATATATCATATATATTAATAAGAAATTTTTCAAGAATCAATGAAATATGAAATTAATTAATGAACCCGTTGGTTTATTATTTGAAAACCCAAAAACATGTGTTAGTAAACTAAGATTTATAATTGATTTTTTTGGATTTAAACCTACAGCAAATGAGTCAACAAAAGAACAAATAGTTAGAAGCTATAGGTTCAATTATTCTCTAAGTAGTTATCTATTTAAGAATATTATATAAAATAAAATACAGGATTTTTTTTCAGAAGGTCAATGATGATATATGAATATCAAATTCTTTCCTTGTTCTATTGATATCAGCTACAGGTAAAATTTTTATTTCTATTTTTAAGATAATAATTATCCATAGACAAATAGTTTTAAATTAATATATTGATTACAATTTATTATTCCTTAATAAGCATTATATTAAACTATTTTTACTTTAATTTTTAATACAAAAAATTTTGATCGGATAATATTGACTTATATGTATTGAAAAAAGTAATAATAAACTTAAAGATATTGAATAAAAAAAATAATTAATTTATTATCAATTCAGATTTCATTTAATGTTACATTATTTTATATTAATAATTATAATGGAAATTTGTAAAAATCAATGTTTATAAATAATTACTCTTAAACTTGAAAAATAAGATTTATGGAAGGAATTATTCAAGAATATATGAGTGAACAATGATTACTTATTAAATAAATAGTAATAATAACACAAAAGCATATAAAGTCGAAGAAGATATATTTATAATTAGAGAGTAGGTATTGATATATTTTATAAATCATTTAGTGATTTTGGTAAGTGAAGTGGATGGAAAATGAATTTAGATAATATTTTCAATCAAAGTGCAAACATAGGAAAAAAAGCAAATTAAAATGCATCTAATTTCAAAGAGTCTGATTATATAGGTGATAAAAATTAAATAAAAGAGTCTTTAGGAATAAAATCGAGAAAGAAATATTGAATCAAAAACACAGATTAATAAATTAAGCCACTATTCGCAAAAGAAAATTTTAGTCTAAATTATTTTTTTTAACAAAAAGAATTACTTAAATCTATTTAGCAGAATCATTAAATTGAAAACCAAAAATTATATGAGGAAAAATAACTTTATTACTTTCTCATTTTAACAAGAATAGTATTAAATAGTTTTTAATTATTTTCATATAAATATAGTTTAATATAAAAAATATTAAATATTACTTTAAAAACTATTTAACTATTATAATTTTTGATAAAATTGAGCTTGTTATTAATTTTTCAATTAATATATTCAGATTGGATGCATATGGTAGATTTTGCAATAATATTCATTTTAAATGTATTCATAAATATCTTTTAAAAGAATTATACTGAAAAAATTGATGAATAATGGCATAAGTAATGTAATTTCTGTTGTAAAAATCATAACTTAATTTAAAAAAGCGTTTTAATTTATTGATATGATGACTTGAATATTATTTAATAGGATTGCAATTATAATTAGAAAAAAATGATAAGATTTCAAAACTACATCTATGAAATCAATCTTTTAAATAAAATATTATTTAATAAATATATTCTAATAAAAAGTAGTATATTTTATTGAATTAGTATTTTTATACAAATAACAATTGATTTTTTAATTTATTAATTATTATTTATAATTTAACTCATTTCAAAATTGAACTTAAAGATGCCATTCTCCTAAATTGAATAGAAGATTCTATATGTCTAATAATTAATACACTATTTAATGAGTTGAAAAAATATGAATTAATCCACAATAAGAATTCGTTAATCAAATAATTTTTTACTTTTTTTTAAATCTTTTTAATGAACTCATTTTCTATAAATTGAATTATTTTTTATAAGATCAGATGCTCTACTTATCTAAAACACATTTTAATCATATTTAGATGTATTTATTCTATTTATTTTGAAATACTTAAATTTTTTAAGTTATTCATTCATTATTTTATCATATCACGTGCAATTGACATATTTGAGTAATTTTTAATTCTTAATTTTGAGATGAACTTAATATTTTTTAGACTCAAGCGTAAATTTCTTTTTCTTTAAATTAATGAGGATGAATATTTTTCGTAATTCTTAATTTAAGTCTTCATCATACTTGATTGTGATTAATTTCTTATCCTATAACAGTTATCTCTTTGATACATGTTAATAGGGATTGTAATTTAAAGTATTAATTTGAGCAATTTTTATGAAGAACTTGCTATAGCGAGAACCTTACTCTTTGTCATTCAGTGAGACTATTGAATTAAAATTACATAATTAGAATGAATAGAAAATAAAAAAAATGAAATGAAAGAGGTTTGATATCAATAACTAGTGATTGTTTACTAAATGTAGCTTTAGGAAGATGCTTCTTTTTTTATACATAAAAAGGAACGTAAGGATAAGATTTGAAAATAATTTATGAGCTTAGATTATATATTGAATTCGATAGTATATGCAGGCAAAAATAATTCAACCTTTAAATAAGCAAAGAGATATAAATGGTTATTGAATGAATTGTAAAGTTGAAAACTTGAAAACAAGATTTTTAAATATTCTTAAGATTGTGATAGTGTTTATGGATTGACTAAAGATAGTTTGAAGAAAATTAGTAAATCATAACAGTCTAATAGTTGGACTAGTCTTTGGGTAAGCACAAAAATAGTAAATTTTTCAAAAAGTCTTCCGATCTACCTTGTATAAAATATATGGAATTAAAAAGTAACAAAAAATAGGACTGCAATATATATAATAGGCATCCAAAAATAATTAGTAACAATAAAAACATTAGATGTTTAGAAAAAAAATCAAAGGGGTAGTCTCATAATCAATTTTCTAAAACTTAATAAATTACATAAATTAATTGAGAAGTGAAAAATGTATTTGAAATGAAAATAAAATGGATATGGTTCACAATTTACATTTTTAATATCTAATTATATCGCTTGCAAATACATTCTAGTAATTTTAAATAGAATAGTTTTGTCCTTTACTAAACATAGACATAATTATAATAATTTCTAAAGTTATTAATAAGATTTTGATTAGTAAGAATATGAAGTTTAAGATCATTAATAGTATTACTTAAGTCATTTGATATTTTAGCTAATTATTAGAGTATTCATCTATATTACTTTAATTTGGGATCACTTTATATTTAATTTAGTTCAGACTAAAAGTCTTATCATTTAAAATTTTACTTAATTTCTTCCAAATAATTCTAATGGTAATTTTGCCTTTTAATTAGATTGGTAATTTACTTACAATACACTATCAGATAATCTCTAGGATACATAGCTTATTTGGATGATAATTCCATACTTCTTACATGAATAATTAATATTTAATTTCTTCTGAATATAAAGATAAACTTTATCACTAATTTAGTATTCATTATGAAGTGAAAAATATAGGATTTAAAGTTTAGGGGTTTTAGGTAAAATTTTTAACAGTAAAAATAAATTTCAATTAATTAACTTAAAATTCAAGTGATCTAAAGATGAAAGAATTATAGATTATAAAATCAAATATTAATTTATATCCAATTTACTTACATCTACGTAAAATTAAGTATTTGAAAAAAATATTGTTTTGAAATGGCTGCTGTATTACTGTATGAGACTGTAAGGTGCAACATGTGAACATAAAAATCTATTCTTAAATGATGAATTTTAGTTTCAGATCTACTATTAAAAGAGATATTTAAAAAAATTGAATAAAATTTATAAATTTTTTTAAAAAATAAATTTTGCAAATTTTTGAAAATTTTATATTTTGTTGTAATTATTTATTTTTTACTTAAACTATAATAATTTGTTAGTATTACCTAAAATGATTTTATAAGGTAGGTTTAGAAATGATTAATGTAAATAATTAAATTAAAAATGTATAAACTAAAAATGACAGAAAATGAAAAAAATCTTAATTGTTTAATGAAACATGAATTACCTGTTTCAATGGTTATTCTATATTCCAAACTAACATAAAATTAAAGACTTTTGTGTTAGGAATGCATTGATAATTTCGTATTAGAGTAAAAATATAAAACAATTGGATATAAAAAAATTGTTAAGAAAATCAATAATTTAAAATCTATGATTCTATAATAATTAGATCAATTAATTAATAATAAAAAAGATTGGATATTAAATTAAAAATAAACAGAATCTAAATATTCAGAATATAGTTTCTTCAAAGAATTTGATTTATCGATAATTAATGATTAAAATAATCAAAATGATAAAATTAATTGTTAAAATCAAATTGAAATACTTAATCCAAGTTAGATTACAAAAATTAATTCTAAATTAGAAAAATTCAAATCATTTCAAGAATATCAATAATTAAAAAATATATTCAATAAACTAAATGAATAAACATTATATATCTCTATAATTTAATAACAATAACAATTAATTCAAAAACAGTTATTATATATTTATGATACAAAGAAGACTCTAGAGCAATTGTATTTGATTCTGGATATAAATGAACCAAATAAAAGTTTATTTTTTCATGTAATTTCCTCCATCAAATACATAACATATATAAACTTTAACTGGTTAAATATTATAATAACTATCCTACACCAATTGACATGATTTAGAGGGGAGATAAATAGGTTTTCAGGATGTTTTAATAATAATAATGGTAAAATAGAAGAAAAATTGGTAGAAACTTTCAATAGTTACAATAAACATGATTTGCGTTTGTTTATTTTATTTTGGTGCATTGTTTATTGAAATTTTCAAAATAAAGCTTGGTTCAATAAATAAATTTCTTATAATTACAATTAAATAATTTTAATAGAGTTTGAAATTAATGCTCATCAAGGTTGAACAAATAGAAGATAAAAAAGGAAATCTAATGGGCACTGGTGGAAATGGATAAGTTTTTCAAGGATAAAGATCAGACGGAAGTTTTGTAGCAATAAATGGTAAATGACAATAAGTGATCATGAATAAAAGATCTTGCAGGCTATCAGAGAAAAAAAATGTTAACATATAATTTAAGTGCATGCTTTCGAAAAGTAGAAGGATGGAATTTTCACAATAATGGAACTTGCAAAGAGTCTTGATTTAAATTAAATGTATGATAAAATTGGGGCTTGCTTACAAGTAAATAGATTTCAATATTTTTTTAGATGGCAAAAGGCGTTTCTGAATTAGAATAATTAGGATTTTTTCATAGAGATTTAAAACCTGATAATTTTGTGATCGGGGAAGATGGTAAAATCAAATTAATAGATTTTGGAATCAAAAAATAAAATTTAACATAAACTAATACTGCTGCTATAGGAACTTTTTTATATATGGCGCCAGATATGATTATCTCCACAAACTATGATTCATCTGTTGACATTTGGTCTTCGGGTGTGATCTTTTATGAGGTCTAATGAAACATTTTTTTTTAAATTTGATACTCCTTTTCAATTATTACGAGCGATAACCTAAATAACTCAATCCTAAATAAATTAGAAATTAAGAAAAAAATAAGTAAATTAGTAGTTAAATGAATTATTATAAAAAATGATTTTTCAATATTTGGATGGAGAAAAATAAATTATAATATCAAAAAAAAGGATAAGAATTGATGAAGTAATAAATGAACTAGAAAAATAAATTTAGGTTGAATAGACTTAATAGCAAATTAAAATTTTTGAATATAAAGAAGATTTTTATAAGTCGCTTTATAATAAAACATAAATTTGATTAAAAATTAAAAAGTACTTAATCAAATCATAATTTTATTATATAAAGTTTATGTCAAAATTTTTATAAACGAATAAAATGATATGTAATTAAAATGATAAAAAATAGTATATTTATATTATATAAG